AGATCACCATTATAATTTTTAGATTTGACCAGACCGAGAACCACTCTGTCTGGGACGCGTCCCACGAAAACATTATCCTGTTCCCATCTTGTACTTTTCCCATCAAAGGAAAAAGTTCGAATTTCACTTCTTACCACTGGATATTTCACTCGTTTGGTTTTACTGAGAGTTCTTTCTTTTTGCAGTCTAGTATAGACACTGGCATTCAGAGTGACTTTGAGCATGTGTAAGGTGACAAAAATGTCATCATCGGCTAGGGTAGGGATCTTTTTGTTCACACTGGTGGTGGTGTCGGGTGTTCCAAACAGAAACAGATGACTATCATTCAGGAACAACTCTAGATCAATTTGAACTCCAGGGACAAGACATTTGCCTGTTCTGAAGACTTCTAGGTGGGGTCGTACAATAAAGGTATGAAACACTTTGCCCAACAAACGGTTGGTGAGTGTTTTCAAACCTGTTTTTCCATCCCAGTTAGCAGTGTCGGGTTGATCATCATTGTTGGCATTGGCAGGAACGAGTTCTTCTTTTACTTGCACTTCATTCACCCATCCTTGTGGAGCCAAGATAGTCCTGCCTTCTTCTCGATTGTAGTTCAACAGTGTTTCTATGTAAGCTTTTTGATGGTAGGCATTACTTTGTTCACTCATCAAGACTCCGTTGAAATGAACATTCATTTGATTGAACAGGGTATGTCCAAAATTGTTGACACAATACACATATTTTGTCAAGTTCGCTGTCGAAGCAGCCCCTTCTGAATCCGATACCCCTCCTGTGCCTTCTGTGTTGAGACGGACTTTGACTTCCAAAAAACACTCATTCAAATCATAATAATCTTCTGAGGAAGGGACAGTAAACAGAATAGGTCGTTTGCCTGTGTTGGCCGGTTTAAAGGGAACATATCGTTTGGCTTCATAACGATAGTCCACATCAGGTACGTCAAAGAGGTTCAAAGACATGATGACAACTGTGAGAATTAGCGACGTCGACGCCTCCTTTTATACTTGCGTCCTTTCAACATCCAAGGATAAATTATTGGTGCATTGGGTAAACCCATCCCTTGAGCAATACTCCCACCATGTTGGTAAGGGGATTGAAATCGTCCTACCGCTCTTTGATGTCTAATACGCGATTGTGATTTGCGTGCTTTCGGCATCTTATTACACACCTAAAATGTCTCGAACACGTTTGACTTTCTTTTTATATCCTCGTTTCACAGCTGCTTTGGCCAGCATTCCCGCTGCTGCTGGTAATTTACGTTTAAGTCCACGTTTTAGTTCCGACCCAGACACTGCCATGGCTTGCTGTAGCGAGGATCCATCTTGAAAGGATTGAAGACCATGTCCTACACTTTTTAAAATCGAGGGTCCTGCAATTTTCACCAAATCATTGGCCAAGGCCCCTCCTCTCATAGAGGGGGTATGATACCGCGTCAAAGATCCACCACGCATGTTGAATTCCAATAATGAATCACTCTTTTGCACTTGTCTCTTTTTATAGTGGACGAATGCCTAGAGTGACAATCGTTTTACCCGGAGGAAGAACAGAAAGAGGACCATCAGGCGTGGCAATTTGGACTTCAATCACTTCCAATCGATTACTGCGTAGTTTAATCCACTCGTGATGAATAGGTTCAACGGTAGCACGTCCAGACCCTGTTCTTTCCAGTTGTACTTCTCTCAACAAAGGATGTTTTTGTGCACCAACAATCGTAGACTCTACGACGTCAGAATACACCATCACAGTTTGTTTAGGAGGTCCGACCAAAGCATTGAAGGAGGTGTTGAGATTAATAAATCTCCATTGCACTCGTCTTGCAAAATGAACTTGTCCTCCTTCCACCAAGAATAGCTCCGATGAACTAGAAAAGGTTTGTGGTTTGATCCCTACATAATGACCTCCTGGCCAGGGATATTCGTTGCTGCTATTTCTTGGTAACGAACTACTATCGTAGCTGACTTTAGGCAGTTCAAAGTGTAAGTTAGGTCCTATGGTGTACGTGTTTGTGCCGGGAACGGGTTTGACAAAACCAAACATCAAAGCTAGATTGAGATGGATAGAAAAGGTGGATAATGCCTCTTTATTAGTTGTCACAACGTCATACTTGGGAACAGCTTCCAAGACCAGATCGTCTTTGTCCCATCTAAAAGTGGGTTTCCATTCTTTTTTCAAAGACACGATGGCTGCATTGCCATTTGTTTCTTTCCATGTATTTGATGCGGTATGAATGTCAGTCATTGCCTTTTGATCGACGCTGGCTATAATATTGTTCCAAAATTGTACACCAGACACCACCGATCGTTGCTTACTCATAACATTTTCCAGTTGCACATAACCTGTCTTTTTTTCCCAACCGATTTGCCAATGGTCAGTGCCGACTTGGTTACGCTTAGTGAAGGTAAAGGAAAACGTGACTAGACGAGTATGTGGATCGGAGGCGATGATGTGGCTACTTTGACCCTCGTCTGGAACTGACAAGGACCATAGACTGGCTTTCCAAGTATCCCCGGGCAAGTCTATTAAGGAGGGTAATCGTACTTTAAATTTGTTGTTTTGATTGTCGGGAAATTCTTTGGTAGGGTCACTGATCAAGGTGATGCGAAATTCTTCCATTATCCCAAAACTTGGAGGTCTTGTTTAGCAATCCAACTATTGTACTTTTTAGGCCAACCCTTCCACTTTACGAAAACTTGTTTGCCTTTACGTTTTAGAACTTTTTCCACACGAAATAAGGACTCATCCGACAAGTGAACGTTTTGAACATCTGGCTCGTAAAATGTTCCTTTTATAGGGGTCCCATCATACTCAGTGAGTTTATAGGTGACCAATGGATGTCGTTTCACCTCTCGCACCAAAAACACCTCTTCGGTCCACCCTGGTAAGTACCCTTTTTTAAAAGGGCGGTGTTTCTTGTTTAATCTGACTTTATCTCCAATTTGACATTTGGGTGCTTTCTTGGGTTTTTGACTTAATCGTGCTCCATACAGTCGGTTCCAAATGGTGTTTTCGTTGCTTTCTTTCACATTGACTGGTTTCTCTTTGATACTTGAATGGCGTGTGTGATTGTAGGCATGAACCAGTGATTGAAGTATATCGATATACTTTAATGTGTTTTTTGCTGTGAAATAGCAAAACATTTTTTCTTTCAATGTTCGATTCCATCGTTCTACCACAGCAGCTTTGGCATCTCCATACGTTGAAAAATGGCCCACGTCCTGCTCTTTAAAAAACGCTTGGACTTTTGAATTATAGAACTCAGTTCCAGCGTCCGTTTGTACTCGTAAAGGTTTACGTGGGTGAGCACGTTTCCAAAGTCGTTCTAACCCTTGTTTCACTTGTTGTCCACTTTTACTTTTGATGGGTTCGGCCCACGCAAACTTGGAAAATACATCAATGACGGTGATCAAATACTTGTACCCCTTATTCCATTTAGCCAGGGATTGCAAATCGGCTAAGTCGATCTGCCACTGTTCATTCATACCAAAGACTAGAGTAGGTAAGGTAAGAAAACGTCGACGCCGTGGTTTGTGTAAGGTATAACTCAGCTTTTGTTGCAATAACTGTTGAGCTTTTTTGGTGGAAAGTCCGCTTGCTTTGGCAAAGGGTTACACTCCGCCCAACGAACCAGGTACAGCGGGGTCTTCATAAACCAATGCTTTTTTGGACATGATACCGTAACCACTGTCCCAGCAAAAACAGGAATGAATACCTCCATTGAGGATACGTCTTATTTAAATAGCTCCACACTTTTTCTCCTTGTGTTGGAAACTGAATATGCAGCCAAGTCATGTAGACGACATATCGACCCCACGTACATTTTTGTTTCATAATGTAGACAAATAAAGGTTCTGGTAGACATGCCGTGTTAGGAATATTGGTCTCCTTACAAAGTTTTCCACATATCCAAACCGTACTTCTATACTGTAATGCTTCCATGATGTTTAGAAAAGACAGATCAGCGCGGTCCACTTTATAACCGTGACGACTGCAAAAGAATTGCCTGGACTTGCCCAAGGTTCCAGTTTTTAACATATCAAAAAATTCCAATACAATGAGGGCAAGTCAACGCTACAATGGTGTCTCCCGGTTTTTTACTATCCAGATAGGCACGGCAGGAGGAACACAACAATTGATAACGTAACTGCTTATTATCCAATCTTAAAGCCTCTAGTTCCCCTTCCATAGTATCGATCAGTTGGGCTTTTCTTTGTAAGGTAGCTTTGGTTATTTCTAATTGCTCTTTACATTGGTACCATAATTGAGTCATCTCTAACAACCTTTTAGCTGACATGATGAACTGAAAATGAACTCGATATGGTAGAACGTTTCTGTTTATAACCCTAACCCTAGCCTCTTGGGACTAGGGTTTATTACCATATTAGCCCTAACCCTAACCATTGGACAATGTGAAGAATGACTATTAAACTTTGGAGGGTCGATGACTAACAGTCTCAGTAGTACAAGGGTTAGTATCTCTGCCTGTCACGCAGAAGATCTGGGTTCAATTCCCAGCTGAGACGCTATATTATTTTGGCGCAACCCAAGAGACAAAGAACCACACATTGCAACTTCACACTTTTTATTGTTTAAAACAAAATCATGGCTGGACCCTCGTTTTTTACATCTTTGTGCAAATCCACTAATTGGTCAAAAAAACGTTCTTGAGCTGGGGTTAACGGTAACCCTTGTTGCTTTCGTTTACGGCAATACGACGCCAAACTGCACACTTTTTCCGGCAAGTCACCAAAGGGCCAGGGTCCCTTCACAAAATCAGCAATGGCTGCTTCGTTTTGAGGCCAAAATCCTTTGACGGGTTTGCACTGTTGATGACAGGCTTGCAAATACTTTTCATCTGCAGGGGATAAGCGTTTGCCTTGATTTTTTCTCTTTTGCCAGTAGGACACTAAACTGGCATCACTAGGAGGTAAGCTTCCAAAGGTCTTCGGCAGAGAGGTTTGAAACTCGTTGTTGGCCATGGCATTGATGTCATCCCATTGGTCTCGTTTCTTGATTACCTCCGCTATCTCGGGACTCCAATGAAAGGTACTTGGCAGGGGTATCTTATAAGGATTGACACTTTTTTTGGCTTGGATCTCTTTCCACCCCTCGGTTTTCTTGTAGGCTTTGGCAATCTCAGGGCTAGCAAAAAATGTACTTGCCTTCCAAGGATTAACACTTTTTTTAGCTTCTCGTTGCTCATGATGTTGTTTGGCAGATTCTGCAAACTGATTGAGCCAGGCTTGGTTGGATTGCTGCTTTTTCCACCGCTCGGCATTTTGCTCTGCTTGCCGCATCCACTCTCGATTTTCTTTAGTGAAGGATTTGAGGGGTCTTGGTTTGTAGGTTTTTCGCAGCCAGTCTGGCATGGGATCAGAAGGCAATGGATACAACGGGGTGTGGATCCACTGAAAAAACTTGCAGCGAGCGTTTTGAGTGGAACCACCACAGGTGAGAAATACTTTGTTGAGATTTTTGGCAGTTTTACTTAACCGGATCTTGGGAATCCTTTGGCAATGACACATTAGATTACCCCATTTGGCATGAACTTCAGGATGAATCTCTTGTTGAAGGACCATTTTGACTTTTTTCTTATCTTCGTCTTTTCCATAATACGAGGGACAGGGTTTCTCTTGATTCCCAACGCCTAAGAGAAATTCGGTGGTCAAAGGGTCAGTCCTGTTGAAGTTCATGATGAACACTGATGCAGATTGAACCCATGCTATGTATTTAACAAACACCCTATGACGTCAATCCCTCCCTAGGGAGCGGGCAAGTCTGGGCCATGACGTTAATGATCATCCCAAGGGATGGGGCAAGACAAGACAAACAACATGACATCACGTAGGCAAAAACAACTTTAATGAATCACACTTGTTTTTACAATGCTTTAAGGAAATTGAAATCCTCCGTCGGTTTTCTGCCTTTTCTGAATGCTCATTTTTTCACTGACCATATCATTCAGTCGTTTCTTAAGGGCTGATCGGGTAGCTGTTTTAGGCACATACGCTGGCTTGGGGGCTTCATGAATCCACTGAAAGAAGTTACAGCGGACCTCTAATTTCTTGGGACAGCCTAAGAAGACTTTGTTCTTGTTTCTGGGTGTTTGACTGAGTTTCAGCTTTTGGCACCAAACCACAGTGACACGAAAACATTCCCCATTTATTCAGCACTTTAGAATGAATCTCGTTACACAGAGCTTCTAGGACTTTCTGTTTGTTCTCAAAACTTCCAAAGTACACAGGGCAGGTATAGCATAGGCTAAGTCGTTGATCCGGTAGGACAAAGTTGGTATGGAGAGGTTTAGTCTCTCCCATGAGATACTCATTCAACTGCATTTTCTCTGGGTTCTGTTCTACAGTACAACCATTGATCACAACATTTCCTTCCTCCAACACTTGCTCTAAGTATGGCTGAGTTTCCATGGAGCTTGGTCCATTGAACAGCTCGTCTACCATCATCTCTTCAAAGGAAGGGAGAACACCAGCGGACCCTGTTTGAGTAGGTTCTGACTGTTGATGATAGGGAAATGAAAAATCTTTTGCTTTCTCTACCATCGTTTCAATCTCCTCTGGGGTGTAAAAACGGGCTTGTTCCAAAGCTAGTATTTCTTCTCGGGAATACGGTCGGTCTTGTCGTTCCATGTTACCTTCCAGCACGTTGTCCAACCTTACTTTCCAAGCGACCTCCTCGCCCAGTTTTAACTGCTCACCGTTTTCTTTTGCTGGAGCTTCATCCAGGTTTTGAAGCACCTCGATTCCTGCAGTGGGAGCCTTTTTCTGCTTTTTCGCTTCACGGGATTTTTTGTTCTTCTCGTTGGCTTTCTTGACTTGTTCTTCAAACGTTTGTTCATTCAGTTGAAATTCTTGACATCCTTCTTGTCCAAGCATATGGATTTTGACTGGTCTCCGGGTTAATTTCTTTTCCAATTTCTCCATCTTGTTGAAAGCTTTTTGCAACTTTTGACCTGTGAAAGATCCATCTTGAGTGAGTCCCATGATATTGTCTAAAGCTTGGCTACGCTCAGCAGACTGAGGTACTGTGATTTCCACGGTTGGTTCTTGCATCTTCAATCTTTGCTCAACTTTTGGTTCTTGACACTTGCACATTGTAAATAAGAAGAGATAAAGCGCTCAAGTTTATAGTTGTTTGTCTCATTTGCATTGACGTCAATCCAATGACGTCTGTCCTTGGGGAATTAGGCATGTTCAAACAATGACGTCAATCCATTGTGTCATGGATTGATATGAAAACAGGTGTGTTTTTACATATCACTTCATAATTGAAAGAATCAAGACACGTTTTATCACATCATCATGGATACAGTAGGAATCGTTGCGTTCTGTCATGGGTTTAAATTAGATACCGATTGGTTTGACTATCGTGAAATTGGTTTATGCACTATAGATGGAACAAATCATTGCTTGTTAGAGTATTCTTGTGTTTTAGGAATTAATTTTTATTCTGAAGAAATCAAAAAGAGCATAGAGGAACAAACAAGTTCTGTGCATGGATTAGCTTATCCAACTGAAGAAAAGTTTCTTCGTGAACCCCATTTCATCAAAGACGATGTTCTGCATTGGTATCGCACATTCAGCTCAAAACAACGTCCAACTGTTGGTCTCTATGGAGTCAATCCACTCACAAAACTGTTTCGAGCCTTGAACATTCCTACCGTCAATTTACAAGACTTTGGTCTGAACGATTTGATGTCTCTCCCTATTGGTACGATCAAGGTTATGTCGCCAGGTGATTATAGCGCCAATTGGTGCAGACAACATCAACATGGCAAACTTGGTGTTTGGCATGATTGTTGCGCCCGAGTCATGGTTTGTAAAATGAGTTGGTGGTTACGCAAGGAGCTTAAAGTTCAACCAACGGTGGCAGAAGTGAACGCTCAACGCGTTCTCTGGCAAAAACGTTGTGATGAATTGTTGGAATGGATTTTATGCGAGTATTGCATCAAAGAAAAAGATGAAGCATTCCAGGAAGGTTTAGGTTTAGATTGGATCCCTGACAATTGCGATGGAAAGTGTAAAATTGTGCAATATATTTTTGAACGAGACGTGACGGATAACACATGGCGAGACAATGTATCCTATACGGATGAATTTTCAGAATGTATGCGAAAATGGCCTGAATCTATAAAAGAGTGATTTTGTATTAAAGTATGTTCATTTACCATGTTATTGTAATCTTATAGTTAAAAAAGAAACAGAATACCCGGGCTGCTTAATACAATAAATTGGATGATGACTCAGTGGAGCATGACCCGTCGTCGCTTTAAAATTTAGCTGTCTTCTCAACATCACTCATAACTTGAAGGTCATGAGCGAAGGAACGTGGATGAAAATTGCGGGTGAATTAATCCTTTTTAGTGCTGAACTACTAGAGAAAGTTCAGACCCTAAGGGAACAAGTGAAAACACTTCAAGAAAAAGTCAAAGAGCTGGAACAACAAAAACCACAGCAAGGGTATGACACCGTCTACTGAAGTCGACACCATTCTACAAAACATTGAACCGTCAAAGTTTACCACGTATCACCAATTCATGCGAGCACTGATATTAGAAGCTATCTCTGGACATAATTTGACCTTTGATAGATTGAATCACCAGCTGTATATTCTGAACAAAGAGATTTATGAAGATTTATGTCAAACCGCCATTGGATATTTTGAATTGTATGCGCCACAAAAATACAAGTCCTTTGGGAATTGAACATGTTCAGGCAATGACGTCATAGTCCTCTATAAAGATAGAGTCATACCATGTTATAGCATTCGAAGTTCGATCAAGACGGAGATACAATATGTCGGGTGTACCAACGTTTACGATTGTCACTGGTGGCGCACTTGGTGTCGATTTGGAAGCTGAAAAGTTAGCAAGAGACCATGGTTTAGCTGTACAAGTTATCATTCCACCTTGTCATCCACGAAGCAAAACAGTCCCTCCATTAACAGTGACTCAACTCGCTGAAGCGATTCCCATCCAAAAGCAAGTGGCTGCTCGTCTCAACAAACGATTGGAAAACCCGATCAGTTTACAGTATATTCACCGAAACTATCATGTGGTGAAACAAGCAGACATGGTGATGGCATTTGCAAACTTTCAACCCGAAAGTAACGTATGCTTTGGAGGAACTGGCTGGGCCGTGGAAATGGCGAAACTGCTAAAGAAGATCCTATATGTTTATGATGTAGACAAAAATATTTGGTTCTGGTACAGATATGATCAAGATTTATTCTATGCCTGTGATCAAATGTCTGAAGACCAATTTGCTTTGCCGACCTTTCTACCAAGGACTGCTATCGTAGGGATAAGAAACATTTATGACTTTCCCGATGGTTTATTGGAACTGAATGATCTTTTTAAACGCAGTTTACATTTGTCTTGTTAAAAATAAAATTCATGTTGAAAACTTTACCCTTTGTGTCTGTTTACTTGTCCAAGCTTTGGTAGTACAATGGCGAGTGTCTGCGAGTATCATGCAGACGATCCAGGTTCGATTATACAGATTCTAATGTTGCTTGTTCAAAACCTGCGAACCCCGAACAACGTTTTTAAACGGTTTTAGTCATGGCGCATGCGCACCTTCAAGGACATTTTATCTGTCCCACAACTTTTCATTTTCAAACTCAACCACAAATATAATCTCCCTTTGCATCTTATTATCTATAACAATGATTCCGTCGATGTTTTGCCGATCACGTCACGATGTATCTCCGATCAAGTCACGAAATTTCCCATCCGATCACGTCACGATGAATTTCCGATCAAGTCACGAAGTGTCCCGACAAAATATGTCGGAAGTCACGACGTATTCCGAACAACTTACGAAATGTCCGACCTCATTAGAATAAGAATAGGTTCTGAAGGTGCGACGGATAGTAGTGAAATCTGCTGCTGTTTCTTGTCGGATAAAGGTGAGTAGTTGTTTAGAGAGTTAACGTTTTTATGTCCAGTGATCTGAATGATTTCGTTTGGCGGTATGTCATTATCAACCAGCTTCTGAACCAAATGCTTTCTTGTGCTGTGATTTACAAGTTTTTTTATCTGTTTCTAGGCCCGAATCTCATGTTCTTGAGCATGCTTCTCAAGGAGTTGACTCCAAGCGGAGAGCATTTGAACCACATTTGACCAGGTTTCGGGTTTTCGTTATTAACCGCAAGATAGAAAGGAGATTCATCGGTCATCATGCTTGTGGGCCGGTGCTCTTTGTAAGCCAAGTAGGTGTTGACGGGGCAGCGATCTGCGTTACTCTTGTCTTCGTACATTTTAGGTTTCTTCTCTCTAATATTTCGAGGGTTTTCGCCGGTACGCGTTTTCGTTTGTCTTTCAATGTTAAACTCGATCAAGCGGTTTCCCTCCGAATCTGTTTTTAATTGCAAATCGCCCCAGCAAAGGTCTCTCTGCTCTTTTCCTGGCCTCATACCGAAGAATGTACAGTTGTTCATCCAGAGGGTATTTAATAGAGCTCTAGGAGAGTGAATTCCTAGGACTTTGCGGCCGTAAAAAGTGTCAATGTCTTCATCTGACAGCGGGTCTGCTGCATTAGGCCGGTTTCCCTTCCCGATGGATTTCAGCTGCTTTTGTTTCTTCTTTAAAATATCTTGCACTTCGTGAAATTCCTTGTCGTTAAGCACGGATAATCCATAGTTGTTTTTGCGAAGATGCCGGTCGATGCTTTGGATAAACGCTCTGAGGGACGAGGGTTCGTATTCTTCACCATTTTTCTTTCGCACAGCAAGAACAAATTTTTTGATGATTTCTTGCAGTTCCACGGGCGTAATATCTTCAATTTCCCTTTTCTCGTCACAGGCGTCAAGATATTCTTTGAAAACTTTTATGTCGTACAAGGTTTTCTTCTTCGTCTTCTCATTTTCAAGTTTTTCTGTAAACTCTTTAACTTCGTCGCTGATGGACGCAAACCTGCTCGCCATACTTTTATTCTAAACAACAAACGCGACGCGAGAAACCAATTCAACAAAAGCAAAAGGCGGGAATCGTGACGTCATTGAACGATACGACACTCACAAAGGTGACATACGGAAAATACGGCACTCGGGTCCCGGATGAAGTGGCGTATGGAATCTACGAGTGGTTCAGTTCCCAGTAAAACACTCTTCTCCATATAATAAACGGTTATATTTGTGAGCCTGGCTTTGTAGGGACTTTTCGAAAGTGCTTTTTTACTTGTTTAACTGTCACAAATATAGGCGAGTACTTACTCCAAATTCAATACTACTGAAACCAACGCGTCTGAAGCCACCTTCAAAAGTGGTGTGTCACAAGGGACTATTTTAGGGCCTTATATATAAATGACCTTACTAACTGCTTATCCTACTCACAACTGAGAAAGTGTGCGGATGATGTTAATATCACTTTTACCAGTTCTGATATATATGTGAGATATAAATGAATGTATTAATTATGACTAGGATTTAAAAGAATAAATATATGGCTTGCAGCCCGGAATACGCTAGCACTAAATGTAAGTGAGACTGAATTCTTATCATTGGTTCAAGGCAAAAATTGTCCAATCACTTCAATGTCTGAGAACTTCTTAAGATTGCCATAAATGAGATTCTCAGCCTGCTTGCAGGCGTTCGAAAGGGAAGGGAAATTCGGGCGCGCGAGGAGGGGAAATTAGGTAACGCAGGCAAGGATGCTATTGTTTTCTCCGTTTTTCACGCTGAGATTTTGAGCGTGAAAATCATGATTGGTCAGATTAATTAATTAGTGTCGATCTTTGATTTAATACTTTGTTCGGATTAGTTTAAATTGACATCTCACCAATTGAGGAACTTGATAGACCTTTCGCATTTTCTCGCGGACTTTCTCAATAATTTCGGTTTTGTCTCCCGGAAATGTTGTTAGCCTTAGAAACGTCCTCAAGTTTACCTTAAAAGAAGACCAAAATAAAGTGGCATCCGGTTTTACCGAATTTCGGAAGCCTCAAATTGATTCTGTTACTACTCGTCCCAAGAGAGAGAAACTAGGCTGCTAGTGTGCTGACTGTCTGTTCATTGAACAGCATTATCAACAACCAGATTCTATAGAAGCAACGGGATTTTGTGCCTGCAATTTATGCGATAAACTTGCGATTTACCGGACAGCGAAGAGGAGAAGTACAAGGAAAGTACTCTATTGCTTATATATGCTTCTGTTGAAAGTAAGATCGAGAAGAGACAACAACAGCGTTTTGTTGGCCGATTACAAAACGTCTAGAAAGGAATTCGACGAGATCACAACCATTTTAAATTTTTCTGGCGCATGAGTACAAGGAAGTTGTATTTGTATGAAGGTGTTTCGATACAGTTTTTGAGAGACCACACTGATGTTTTTCAATCACCTTCATTTATCCTTGTCTGATCGCTACAAAATTTTCACCAGTGATTGAATTTGAATTGAAGTTTGTCAAAATGCAGTTGTTACTAAAATCGATATCACTATGACAACAATAAACAACAAATTTTAAAATCAATAAAATCCGAATTTTGTGCGGTCTAGACCTGCTACTGAAAATCCGATTCCAGGAACGTAAAGCCTGGTGTTTAACAAATAACCTCTCCGAGAGAAAAAAAATTCTGTAAGTTTGAATTCATGTAAAAAAAATTATTTCAAACCTTATATTTCCTATAGCAGTGATAAAATGTTTAATAAAAAAAGTTGTAAATAACTCAAATCGATATAAGTAGCGTGAGAAGGCTGCCTAGTATACATTATATTCGATGCTGGGAATTTGAGTGTATTTTCTTTCTTGCAATCCCGAAAACTAATCTGTTGTCCCACCACCTGTCTGCTTAATTCCAACTGTACAACTGTACATCTTTTAGTCTTTCAGCCCTTTAAATTGCTTTTCTTCTGGCGACTCCGTTTTGGTCTCACATTGAACTGACCCACCATGCGATTTTGTATTTTTGTTTTGTTTTGTTTTCGTTTTTCTGAAAAAGAGCCCAGAGCTCCGGTTAACGTTTTTGATTGGATGGACATTTCACAGTTATCGTATCTTTGCATATCAATTAGGAGACGGTTGGAAAAAAAAAATTATGGGGTTCTTGCAGGCGTTCCCTCTTCCCTCTCCTCGCGCTCGAATTCGCCTTACTCTTCCCCTTTTACTAGTAACGCCAGCCATGCAGGCTTTGACATTTGCTGTTAAGCAGGTTTCCTCAGCAAAGTCAACGCTGAAGCTTAACACAGATCAAAATCTAATGTCATCAATATGTGAAAGTAATATTGTTATAACTAAATCGCAGCTGGTATCAATGCTTTTGATGTCGTGTTCTCTATTAGGATCAACCGCAATGGTTTCTACCAAACCGCTTTGGGTTGATTTGGTTGTAGTATTAGACACTTTTCCAATCGTTTTGATGAAACGCGCTTGTGACTGGGTAGAGTCATTTCCAGAATTCCTCGACTTTTGTTAATTGTCAACATGGTGAAAGGCACAATCATTGCTCGGTTTTGCTTCAACAGCTGGTGTAAAACACGATGTTTCAGATTTATAATGATACGATGAATTATAATATTTAGCAGCACTAGTTCTTGAAACGGAGAGGACTGCATACGTGACATTTGCATTCACTTCCAGGCTATATTTGGGAATGAAAAAAATAATCAAGATGAGAAAATGTATTTTGTGGCTAAAAGGGAAAAACGACAAAGCCTAGGAGGAGGAGTACAAATTATTTTCCCTTCACTGTAATGGAACTGAATTCTTAAAAAAAGAGTTTCTTCAGGTTGAAAACCAAGTTTTCTCAATTTTGCAGGACTGATGAATTGTCACTTAGTCAAGTTTACTGCAATTTTAAACCAAAGACTCAACGCTGTTGAATGACCCTGTAAACTAGAAAAGAAAAGATTACATGAACTCGTGGAACTGTTTGGAAATGCAGGGCATAAACCCAGGGCATCATGGTCTAATTGAGCTAACCTGTCATTGGTTTGGGCGAGGGATTATGCAAAGACTCAGAGACTCCATTCCTCTGCGAATTGCTCCATTAGATGTCCGATAATAGACATTGGATGCCAAGAAAAGTGACCTGAAGAAAACATACTCAGACATCGCACGGTTTTCATTTATTCAAAGCTGAAAACTTTCAAGTAGCATATATTTTCTATGTTAAGTTACATGTCATCATTAATGTTTGTTTGTTTGTGTATGTGTTTTTAATCAATACATTATTTCATACATTATCCAACAAAACAGTTAGTAAACTAAATTTAGTAGGTTATTTTAAAATGTGTAAGTGCTCTGGGACAATATAGATCTAAAATGCATTTACTCCGATAAGTGTCAAGCTCTCATTACAGTTTAAATTGCATAATTTACAAGGCTCTTTTACTTTTAAGAAAACGTTTTGCACTTTACATATTGAACCAATAAATACGTTAAAAAACGTCTACTAATACCACATTTACCTGCAAAAATCATCAAGGGAATCTCTATTTTAAATTTTTAGTCGATGACTTTATCTCTATTTCATCCACTACTTACCACTGCATTAAGTAATCTGCAGTTATTGCGTAAAGGCTAAATGTCGGCAGTTATTGCGCAAAGGTTAAATGTCCTTGAAACAACTTGCTAGCTGAAAATCATATGCCTTCTACTCTTGGTTTCCTGGTTCGTATGACTACACCCTATCCTCCTGGAATGTCGAGGCTTTAGTTGAGTGACTCGTTTCCCGGGTACTTCTCCTCAAGGCCGGATGAGATTTTCGGAAGGTTATCATCCGGTTAAAGGCCAATCTAATCTTGGTGCTTAAGGCAATATACAGCCAAGGGTTGATCGCGCTGTTTGCGTGGGCCACCCAAAATCCCAGGTACATGACAATTGCTGGCAGGTTTTCACGAAAAGCTGTTGCTACCCAAAAAAGGTGTATTGCCTGCGCGGGAAGCCAGCAAATAGCAAACACCACAACAATGATGACGAGCATGCGGACCACTTTCCTTCTTGTAACCAGCTGTCGACGCTGTTGTTCTTCAATCAACTGATTGCCTGGAGCCTGGTTAAACCATAGCATACGAGCAGCTTTCGCGTACAGCGGACATATGATGGCCAGAGGAACTATGTAGGTGATGAGGAAAATGTAGAGGTAAACACCACGAAATGTCGCGTTCTGACCCAAAACATCTGGATCAATTTCGCAGTATTCATTATCAAATTTGTAGATGACAGGCATGATAGCCATTAGAGCGATTGACATAACCCAGATCAAAGGTGTGACAAATTTCGCCTTTCTGAACCACACAGAGTGGACCGACAGAGGACAGACAATGAGGCAGTACCTGTCGATTGCCATAAAAACCAGGCAGAGGATAGACGCAATGAGGGTGGCATCGGAAATTAGAATATAGCTCCTGCAGATGATGTCACCAGGCAACTCAGGTACCTTCCACTTACTTTCCGTGTGAGCGCTGACAATGGAAAGAGGCATCATGAACAGAGCCACCAATAGATCGGCTATGGCCATGTTGACGAACATAGAACTTGTCAGTGACCGTACCTCAGGTTTTTTCCACACGATATATATCAGAAAAGAGTTGCCCACAATAGCTGCAAGCATCGTAAAGGCGTACAGTACGGTTACAATGCTCACTTCTGCATCGCTCAGTCCCATCTTGTACTCTGCCTATTTCAAAACAAAGCAATCGAAAAGTCGTAAATCAATTGTAACTTTTAACAGCAGTTTCAGTTCGTGAATTGGAAGAAATATTTCTAGCACTCCACACTTCTTTACTTTTTTCTAAGGTCACATGTTCTTTGATTTACAACATGGATCCTTACTACGTCTCAGCTCCTTTCACTGTCCAGGAGGCTCCCGAGAGGAAGACTTAGATGAATGGGGTAGCAAAATGAAGGCAAACTTGAGATAAGTTTAAAACTGACACACACGCACACGCTGTGGTTAATGTGAATTTTCAATTAAAAAGTTTTTTT